GGGTTGGTGAAAAATCCCCATAGATAATAATGGGTTTTAGGTATCTGAATCCCTTGGGCAGCCTCAGCAACTGCCTCCCAAGGCTAAGCTCCATGTCCTGCCTCTGGGAGATGCATCTTTACACAGACTCTTCCCCCGCCCTGCCTCCACTTCCCCACTGCAGTGCAGGCAGGAGTCAAATGCTTTCAGTGATGGCTAGAAAGTGATATTCAGAGGTTTGCTTTTGGAAACTAGCTTGTAGGTAAACACTGGAAAAATGCATTGGAACAATTGTCCAGGGGGGATAGCAAGGTTTAATTTGTTTTTTAAAAGCCTGTTTGAGATAAAGTTTTCTTCAAGGCCCACTGTGTTTGGAACCAGAAGACACAATGTCTGAGGCCAACACATGTGAGAAAGGATGTGGAGAAGCTTGGGAGGGTCCAGAGGAGAGCCAGGTGCATGATTAGAGGTCAAAAGATCAGGCTGGATGAGGACAGGCTGAGAGGCATGGGAGTCTTCAGCCTGGAGAATTGAAGGCTCAGGGGTGACTTGGTAGCAGCCTATAAGTATTTAAGGGGTATACACCAGGAACTGGGAGAACATCTGTTCACCAAGGCACCCCAAGGGAAGACAAGGTCTAATGGTCACAAACTGCTGGAAGGCTGCTTTAGACTGGACATAAGGAAAAACTTCTTTACTGTCCGAGTCTCCAGAGTCTGGAATAGACTCCCTCCAGAAGTGGTGCAAACACTTACTCAGGATGCCTTTAATGAACAGTTGGATGCTTATCTTGCTGAGGTGATCTGACCACAGCTGACTTCCTGCCCTTTGGGCAGGGGGCTGGACCCAATGATCTCACAAGGTCCCTTCCAGCCCTAATGTCTATGAAATCCTGAAAAATTAAAAACATCCAGACAGTCTTTCATAACGTGATATGGTGCGACCAGGTCACAGTGACCAGCTGCGGAGCCCGTGGGATTTTCAGTTTTGGTGGTGGGAGTCCAGGACATGCATGTGATGGGTTTGGGGGCTTATTTTGTTTCCCTTGCCTGAATGATTTTTATCTGCTATCACTGTGCATCAATAAAATGTGCCTATTATAGAATAGAGAAGTTGTGGTTGGACTCAAGGTTTGGGTCTGCTTGGAACAAGGTATCTGGGTCATAAATCCAGTGTCAACAGTCAACTCTTATTCCCCCAGGGGAACTTGCATGCAAATCCCTGCCTGGGGGCTCCTGAGTAAATACAACCCCTGGCTCATGAAGCCTCAAACCCTGCCCATCTGCCTGTGGCAGGGAGTCCCTGGGGATGGAATCACTTGGGCTTCTTCTGCTCCTGGTTTCTGCCCACACTGATGAGTGTCCAGGAGGTAGGAGGGGGATAAGGAATGGAGCCAAGGACTGGTTGGGTGACTAATGGTTTCCTTGCCTTGTTTCCCTGTTCCCAGATGTCCTGTCCCAGACCCAGCTGGTGGAGTCTGGCCCAGGGGAGGTGAAGCCTGGATAGACTCTCACCCTGACCTGCATTGTCACAGGGGACTCCCTCAGCACTGGCTCTTAGTGGAGCTGGATCCATCCGCTTCCTGGCCAAAGGGCTGGAATGGATAGGCTGGATCCAGACAAGCAGTGGGAACACAATCTACAGGCTGGCCTTCAAAGGCCGAATCACCCTCTCTGCAGACACCTCCCCAAACCAGTTCTCCTTGCAGCTGCACTCCTTGCCAGCAGCCAACACAGCCACATTTTACTGTGCAAAGGACACAGAGCACAACAAAGAGTCACAGGTGAAGCAGGTTCCCTCTAAACAACCCAGCCACTTCTGCTGTGAGCACCAGCCCAGGCCCTTTGTAAGGGACTGTCCCTACATTTCCCATGCTGCTTCCCCACTCCCTGCTGCTCACCTTCCTCCCAGACTTCTCTTCCCACTGGAGGTCTTGCTGTACCTATGGAAAGGGTGAGATAGATGTAACATCTGAACCATTTCCAAGTACAAGGGGCTGGAGACATTTATAAAGGAGGTATTTCAGTTGCTGGACACACACACAAAGCCCATTTGGGACCCTTCCCACACCCAGGGACTGAAGACAGCATGGGATCTCCAGCCTGGGGTTACCAGGGGCTGTGAGAACCTGCGGATCCACTCCCCAAGGAGGGTTGGGGGCATGGCTAACTCCAGCAGTGCTTTGCAGTCCCTGGCTCTGGGCCCTCCAGCTCTGATTCCCCCACAGTCCCTGCAGCATCTACATAGCATCCAATGAAGCCAGCTATAGCTACTGAAAACTTTGGTATGTCTGAAGAAACTACAGGTGACCCTCGCCATTCACAGGGAATACATTCCTGAGATCCCCGCACTGGCAATAGCAGGAGCCCAGTAGCAGTGGTTGGAGTCCGGCAGCGGCAAGCACAGAGCTCCCAAGGAGCTCCTGTAAGTGTATTTAAGATGAGGATTCAGTATTCGTGAATATTTGAAACGGTGAATGCAAAACCCGCAAGGGGCTGGAGTGGATGAGCTACTGAACAGGTAGCACAAGCTACAACCCCGCTTTCCAGAACAGAATCACCATCTCCGTGGACTCCTCCAACACCAAGTATTACTTGTGGTTCATCTTCCTCACAGTTGCCAACACCACCATGTGTTGTTGTGCCAGGGACCCAGTGACACAGACCAGGGCAGGGGCTGCACAACAAGGAGAAGTGGATTCTTTACAGATGGAAGTGACAACTTCTCTTGTGAGACAGAAAGACAGAGAGGCACACAGAGAATACCAGAACTAGAGCAAACCCAGGTAGGGGCTCCCCAACAGCTCAGCCCCACAGGGGAGGCTCACAATGGGACCCAGGCTGGGGGCGGTCTCTGTACCCAAGACAGGACCAAGGTCCCTGCGCTCCCTGCCTGGCCTGAGCCCCCAGCTTCCACCCATGCTGAGAAGAGGGCTCCCCCTTGCTCTGAGCACTTTCATCCTGGTGCCCCTTATACACACATGGGCACCAGCAGGGCCATCACACAGACACACACACAAAAGCAGTGATGAGTATGTGCACACACACGCACACATGGAAGAATCATTTTGTACACCCCACCCTCCATGATGGCTCAACACTACAGGCAAAAGAGAGTGGGAGACAGAGGAACCCAGAGCATGGCAGAGGGCAGGAGGACAAAGTATCCCCCAGGCCCTCATCTGGCTCGTGCACTGGCTTGACCCTGCTCTACAACTCTGCACCTCGCCAACCGCCTGTTCTGCAAGTGCTGCCACCTGCCGCTGTGCTCCCAGGGCTGAGTCTATCAAGCCACACAGCAAGGACCCTCAGCACAGTCCCGGAAAGACTGAACTCAGAGCCTCATCCAACTGTACAGCCAGGCCTCTATGGGCATCACCCCAGAAACCTGCAGCAATTCAGCTCTGCAGAGAGGAGGTGCAGTGTGCAGAGTGCTGCTGCTTGTATATGCAGACTCTGTCCACTCCAGCCCCTTCCCAGGGACTCAACTGGGTGCTCTCTGGGGAACTGGCCTCACAGTCTGCCATGATGGACTGTGACACATTGGCACCCAGTAGTGACCTGCACTGGGACTACAGGGCATAGAGCAAGACAGAATAATGATCATTTGGACACAAAGGGCAGGGGAGGGCAGACAGAAAGGTTAGAGGGAACACAGTGGGCTCTTCCCACTACAGCAAACTGAGGTGCGACCTATACACCTGCATGTGTACGGGTGGCACCTATACACATGCAGGGAGCTGGCTCCACTGCACTGGAAATCCAGCACATCAGAGCAGACTCAATTAATCAAGTCTACTAGAGCACAGAAATTAATGCACGCCAGCAGACTCTAGCATCACATGCATTCAATGAACTTCAGTTCAAAGTGTCCTGCTGCCATTTTTCACGGTGGGGAACAGCAATACACTTGATGCTCGGGTGCCTTTAATTAGTGAAGCTTGCTAATTAAAGCGCACACACACACACACACACACACACTGCAGAGCATGTGTAAAAAATGCCCCAGAAGTTTACATGTGACAGACACGCACACAATGTTTGTCGCTGTGGAGGAGCAAACTAGCATGTTATACAGCCAATGATTAATTGCTTATGTAGGCTCAGCTGCATTAATATCAGCCCTTCAACTGCCTGACCCTGCACTGAACTCTGACCCTTTGGAGAAAGTCATGGAGAGGGAAAAAGAAAATGAACTTGGGCTTTCTGCTAAAAAAATCACAGCTCCCCTGGCCACCCAAACAGGTGGTCAGAGCAGAGGCACTGGCTTTGTAGCCCATCATGCCTGGCCTCTCACCTCTCCCTCTGCTGACTGGATCCAGCTGATGATCAGAACTGGACACAAGTGACAGCAAGTGCTGGGAGTCAAGGCAATGTGGTCAGGGACTCTCATCAGCCTCCACCTGCCACTGAGACCAGCCCTACATGGACTAGTTGCAACAGCTTGCAGGTTTGCAGATTGAAGCTTTATTAGTGATTGTAAAACAGCACAGTCACTTACATGGCAGGGGATATAGGACCTTGTGCATGGTAGCTGCATGGGGACATAGTATAGACTGACACAGTGTAAAATATGCAGTTGGTCATGCAGCTGCTATAGCTCAGTTTGAACCAAACAGGATGTTAGAGTCTGAGTGAATCAAGAGCTCATTTCCTACCAGTGGAAATCCATTCCTAACTACCCTGGGGTCCTTTCAAATTCCAGCCATCCGCACAATCACCCACTTCATGGCCCTTCTGCTAAAACCCCTGCCCAGCTTTGCAACCACTCCCTGAACCTTTGTTTATCTACAATTTTCCAAAAAGCCCAAAGGATTTAGGCACCCAAGGCCCTTTCATTGGCTAAGGGACATCCTCCTGAATCCACTCTCTCATGGGACTCATGCCACAAGCAGAGATACTCCCATGTATACAGAGTCCCTCTGTGCCCTCTCTTATACCTGCCCTGGGAAACCACATGCAAATCTCTGCTCTGAGCTTTCTGATTAAACACCAGCCTCTGACCCAGGAGTTCCTGTCCCTGCCCTGACACAGCTGGTCTGTGCTGCAAGATCCTTCTACACGAACCAACCATGGCCCTGCTTCTGCCCCTCCTGGTAATGTTGGGCGCCCTGTCTGGTGAGTGTCCCCAGGGCTGATTCCCTGCTGCAGGAACCCAGGGCTGAGGGCTCCCAAGGGGGACCGAGTCAATGCAGAGCCTGGATCCCACTTCAATGGGAGGTGACGCCTGATCTCAGGGCGTGGAAGTTCCCCATGTTCCCTCCCCCAGAGCCTGGTTCACCCACTTCCATTCCCTTCCAGGTGTCCTCTCCCAGGTGCAGCTGCAGGAGTCAGGTCCTGCAGTGGTGAAGCCTGGGGAGACCCTCACACTCACCTGTGCCATCACCGGAGGCTCTGTGTCTAGCACAAGCCACACCTGGGACTGGATCCGGCAGCCTCCAAGTCAAGGGCTGGAGTGGGCTGGGCGCATCTACTACAGATCCAGCTGGAGCACAGACTATGCCACCTCCCTGAAAGGCAGAATCACCATCACCCAGGACACCTCCAAGAACCAGTTCTCCCTGCAGCTGCGCTCCCTGACAGCTGCAGACACCGCCACGTACTACTGTGCTAGGAGACACAGTGACACAAAGTAGGGCAGGGGCTGTACAGAAAGGGGAAGCAATGTTTGTTCACTGTGTAGAGACTCCAGCCACTCCAACCCCTTCAGAGACCCAACTGGGTGCTTTCTGGGAAACTGAGCTCACGGTCTGCCATGATGCACTGTGACACATTGGCACCCAGTAGCAACCTGCACTGGGACTAAAGGACACAGACAGATCAAGAAATAGTCATCAGTCAGGCCCTAAGGGGAGAGGTGGACAGACAGGCTGCAGTGAACGCAGACAGGGCTCTTCCCTCCACAGCAACCCCCCAGCAGTGCTGACTGAGGCAGTGCATTTCTCACCCGAGTCCCACATCCCTGAGCACCTCCTTCCCATCCACACTGAGCTCTGTTGGGTGAAAAGCAGAGAAAAAGGAGCCGGTCCCTGAGGCAGCTCCAACCCCCTGGGCCCTGCAGCAGGATGGGCCGAGCTGCACTGAGTCACAGCCTCCTGGCAGCTCTTGTACTGTTTGGGCCCAGCCCTGTGCAAATCCTTGAACTGAGCATACCACATACATACAGACCCCCTGGGGTGTCTCATCACCAACCCCTGGATCCCAGCAACTGAGTGAACCCCAGGTCACAGCCACCATGCATCTGGTCCTTGTTGTCCTCTCTCTCCTGGCCCTGCTCTCAGGTGAGTCTCACCTCTCTCCATAACCCCCAAGGGTCCCCATCAGAGCTGGGCTGAGCCCCAGGCCAGGTGCCCTCTGCCCCATATTGGGCAGTGCTAGGAGGGATGTCTAGTGGACCAGCTATCACAGGGACTCACTTGCTCCATGCACCTCTTGCATAAGGCATCTCTGAGGTGTGACTGGAGCAGCAGGGAACAGAGCTGGTGAAGCCCACGGACTTTGCTTCACTCACATGAGTTGTCTATAGTGTTGCCCTTTGGGATCCCGATTCGAGTGGGCTCTGGCAGTCTCCTGGGAAGGGGCTGGAGCTTATTCTGGGGAATGGAAACCTGGGTACAATCCAGCCCTCTGGAACTGAATCAGCATCACCAGGGACAACTCTAAGAACCAAATGCATTTGCAACTGAACCATATGGGAGCAGCCGACACAGCCACGTACCACTGTGCCAGGGGAGCTTGGACCACTCTGGAGTCATGGAGTCCACTGCTCTGCTCTTTTGGGACCACATGCCCTGGAGTCCTTATCAAGGCCTAGTCACACAGGGACTCCATCAATCACAAGTGTTGGGCCAGGTCATCAGAGGTCTACTTCAGTCAGACATGCAGAGTAGGGTCATCAGTTTGGAGGTTCAGACACTCATCATCCCACCAACTACTAGGTTGCATATCCTGATGCTCATGTAGGCTCAACACCACACCAGCCAGGACCCCTCCTCAGCCTCACCCTACTCCCAACTCTGATCTGGTGATGGGGAGAGAAGGAGAAAATGAACACAAGCTTTCTGCTACAAACACAGCTGTCCTGTTGTTTGCTTTCCTGCAAATCTAACCAGAGCTGAAGGCAGCAGAGATGTCTCTCTCTCCAAGGACAGCACCAGGGGAGAAATATTCAAATACATTTAGGTACCTGTTTCCCATTCAATCCAAAGGAAATCAAATGTCTAAAACCCTGCCAACACCTGCACCCTTCTACGCAGCAGGTCTGTTACTAGTGAAACCAATGACCCCAACTCTTTGGGAATCCCACCAGGCCTCTCTCGGCATCCATTGACCCCTCGCCTCTCTGAGGCTCTGCCCAAAGCATGCAAATGCCACAATCTTAAAGGGTACAGGTGGGTCAGGACTGTGCTGTGATCTGGGCTTCTCATTGGACAAGCAGATGGATTCCTTCCTATTCCTGGCACCCAGTGCCCATTGCAACTGGAAAAGTGAAGCCCCCAGGAAACTAGGACAGATGAGGTGTCACTTCTCTTTAGGACTCTGATGGGTCACTCAGTACTGGCCCCATGAGTCCCACTCCCTGGAAACTTTTGTCCCGTCTGCCAGGCCCTTCTCTGCCACTGGAATCAGACAAGTAGCTTGGGAAGAGAGGGCCATGGCAGCTCAGGGCCCAACTAGGATGCTGGGGTGATAAATCTTTGCACATCACAGCAACCTGTCACACCATACACATCAAAACCTATGAGCTACCCCCGAATTCTGCAGTGGGTCCACATATACTGCAGAGACAAGCAGCTCCAGCCCTTTCTCTAAGCTCTTCTGCCCTGGTCTCTAAGTAGACAGGATCCAGGCTGACTGACTGAGGCAAGATTATGACTTCCTGACTCAGTAACACATAGGGAAAACCCTTGAGGGGAGCAGAGTGCCCTGCCCAGCTAAGCAGGACTTGTAGCTCATTGCTGGACTCACTAAATGGCAGCTGCTCTCTGGAGGATTGGGCCTTGTTCTGGGCCTCTAGGACACTCCCAGAACCAGCACATCACTCTCAGGAGGTGGGCCTGGGGACAGCAATGCACAAGTCCCCTGACCACCCAAACCCATGCATGGAAACAAAGACACTGGTTTTGTAGCCCATCGCACCTGGTGTTTCACCTCTCCCTCTGCCCATTGGATCCAGCTGATGATCAGACCTGGATACAACTGAGAGCAAGTGCTGGGAGTCAAGGCAGTGCAGGCAGGAACTCTCATCAGCCTCCACCTGCCACTTAGACCAGCCCTATCCAAAAAGGATACGAGAGACTGCAGGTTTGTAGATTCCAGGCTTTATTTGTGAGTGTAAAACTTCAGTCATTTACACAGAAGAGGATGTAGGACCCCACGCATGGTAGCTATATGGACCCATGGCCAGTATAAATTGAAACAGTGTAAAATATATAATTTCTCAGAAATTGCATCTCAAAGTCTTGAAAGCGACATTTGCTGGCAGCGGCAGCCTCCTGTCATCCAGCACGTAGATCCAGGGACTCGCATCCCTGGGAGGGCTGTGCCAGACTCCTCCTGGGGGTACAGGACCCCAGATCCATGCCAGATGACAGGAGGCTGCCGCCTGGGACCACTCCCCGCCAGGCTGAGCTACATGGGGCTGCAGAGCCCCTTGGAGCACAGCCCCGGCTCCCCCCTGCCTCCCACCGCCGGGCCGGTTCCAAACCCTAAATGTTTCAAAACTTTTGAAATGTTTCACGTGCCCTCGTTTTGTTTTGAAGCTGTTTTGATGCTTTTTGTTTCATTTCGCTATATCAAGCCCGAAATGCGTTGAGGCACCTTTGAAACGAAACACTCTCAGACATTTTTCGCAGCCCTAGTCAGCAACTCAAAGACTTGCACTTGCTTTCTGTCGGCACCAGGTGGTGCCGTGCTATTTCTGTAGTTCAGGCCTTCAGCCAGTAGGAACTGCTGTGATTTTATTGTATTTTATTGCATGCATCTTTTCCCCCCTAACTCCATCCCTCCCACACCACAGCTGACCACAGGCAACCAGGGCACCATGAGGCATAGGGGGTCTGCATATTAAAATAGATGGGTGTAAAGAGAAATGGTATAGCAACCCCCCTGTGCTGTGCAAGTAATATATTACCTCTTGGCTGGAGACGTTCTGAATGACCAGGGAGATGTTTTATCATATCGTCCCAATGCTGGAGCTCCATATTGTGAGGCAGGATGCAACAGGACAAGAGAGTGGCATGGCAATGGTCATCCTAAAATTTGCCACCCCAACCAGCCTCCGCTACGTCATGAACCAGTTTGGCACGGCTCCCTGCATGGCTGGGTTGGCAACTCATGAGGTATGCCGGCTGCTAAAGGACATCGCTGCAAACAAATTGATCTGCCTGGTGAATACACAGCAAGTCACAGATGGCTTCAATGGCAAGGGGTTTCCAAACTGTGTGAGGGCTTTAGACAGCACTCACATCCCAGTGCTGTGCCCTTCAGGGAGGGAGACAACTTTCACAAACAAGAAAGGATTTGCCTCCATGATTCTGCAAGCATGGTGGATCACCAAGGCTGATTCATGAACATTTTTACTGGGTGGGCCAGCAGCACCCATGACATGTATGTTCAGAAACTCTCCTCTCCCTGGCCTCATGCACCCAGTGTGGAGGAGACCGTGATCCACGGTGCTGCTTTGCCCCCGGTTATATAAACAGATGCCGCCTACCCCCTGAAGCACTGGCTCATGAAGCCTTATGGAGGGAACCTCATGGACCAGCAGAAGGTGGTTTTTAACAACCGCCTGAGCAGTTGCAGGATAGCCGAACGTGCGTTTGGCCGACTGAAAGGATGACGGAAGACACTTAGGTGCCGGCTCCAGATGGACCCAGAAAATATAATGCACTTTGTAGTGGCAGTCTGCATGCTGCACCACATGAATTTGTGGGCTGAAGAAGCATGACAGGCAGTGGCCAGACAACAGAGACGTGGCCTGGCAGCAGCGCAGGGACCAAGGAGATATCCTCAAGGAGAGGCTGGTCGGGCAGCCCTTGTGCACGATTGCCTGGCAGCATATATTGCTGACAACTAGCAGTGCTTTGTTCTTTCTTTTGGTTAGGTTATAATAACTTCTTTTATTATAGGGCTAGGGTACTGCTGCTTCAAGACTGGCAGTGGTTTGAGGGGGAGGGAGCATTACAAACCGGCACCTAAGCAGCCCAAATCATGCCCCCCTGCCCCGTGGGTGAGTGAGTTAACTATACTTCTCTTGGCCAGCTGGCAGGGAGCAGGGGAAGAGGGGCGTCGGTTCCAAGACCTGTCAGCTGGGAAATGCAGGCCAAAAAAAGCCAAAAAACAAGCCTGAAAAGCAAGAGCTCACTGCCACCCACCCACTGCCCTCATCAGCTGCAATCGCCAGGCTTGCAGGTGTGCTCCAGGAAGAGGTCAGCTGGACGCGAGGTGCCCCAGGGAGGCACTCGGAGGCTGAAAGGTGGTCGGGCACGGTGAGGTGGGTGGCTCAACATGGGAGTACACCCGACTGGCCCACCACAACACCCACTCACCCACTACTCTCAACATGTACATTTCTGATATCATATCAGTTATAGTTTTAAAAACCCATATATTTGTAACATGGGGTGAAGGGAAA